CTGGTCCTGCGGAGGCCCCACGGCTTAGCAAACTCGGGTGGCTTCTGGTTGGTGCTGCTGCCGTGTCCCTCTTGCTCACACATCTTGAAGAGTAACCTCCCCTAATGCCCGTGCTTTCTAGACACAATGCATTTCTAAAGATGTAATAGAGACACTCCCTCCCTGACTTCAGCTGGAGTTCAGTCTAGCATTTCCTGGGCCATGGGTTCCCACGGGTGCTTGGTGAGAAAGCAGGGTCATTTTCACCAAAGCCACTTCCCTCGCTCGAGGAATGCACGCTGAATGATCCATATGGATTTGTGACTCACGCACTAATCTAACAGCTTCTTCAATTTTCTTGATAAGGTCAATTTATCAAAACCCTATGAAACAAAGTACTTCTACCCTTTCAAATCTCCCTGGATTGAGTGTGGCATCAAAATTCTATTCATTGCAACCAGAGACTTATTGAGTATCCTCAAGGGTACTTTGGGTTAAAGATTAGCTTGGCGCCAACTAACTGGTGGTTTCCACCAAAAGTCTTAGGGTCCGAATAGATTTTTTGGCCTGCAATTTCTTCCCAAAATCTAGGGCCCATCATAAGAAACACCTTTCATGTTTCCCTGAGACTGAAGCTTTCTCTAACGAGCACCCAGTTTTACACATTTAGCTGCTGGGAGGGACATGAGAATAAAATGGACCCATGTCCTCAGTGAGCCTGTGATCCAGCAGAAGAGACTAAACCAAGATTCAGGAAGCTAAACAAAAGAAACTTCCTCTCTCTCAGCCTCAGGGCTCTCCTCTAGCGAATGAGAGGGTTGAAATAGGCAATCCACATCCGTATCCCTGCCTTATACTTTATAAAACAGTTTCATTTTTTCTTAATTGCCCTCCACAATAGTCGTACAAGGTAGGGATTTCATAGGAAGAAAACAGAACAAGATGTTAAGCTACTAAACTGAGGTTCAACAACGGGTGGGGCTGTGGACTTGAACGAGGCATCCATTCCTCCATCCTATAGGAGTGGATGCTGTGATTCTGTGATTCTGGAACCTTCTATGATGCTGAGTGTTATGTATACAGTCTTTCCTGCAGTTTGTTTACTGTAATGAGTGGAAAGCAGGCAAAAGCAGCTGCCCTTCAAAACCAGTTAATGTATGGCTGACTACAAGGAACTAATTAGTCAAAACTCATGAGGTCCATGAAGGTTCTAGAGCAGTGATGGCGAACCTTTTGAGCTCGGCGTGTCAGCATTTTGAAAAACCCTAACTTAACTCTGGTGCCGTGTCACATATAGAAATTTTTTGATATTTGCAACCATAGTAAAACAAAGACTTATATTTTTGATATTTATTTTATATATTTAAATGCCATTTAACAAAGAAAAATCTACCAAAAAAATGAATTCGCGTGTCATAGGTTCGCCATCACTGTTCAAGAGCAAGCATGTCAAACTCGCGGCCCGCGGGCCACATGCCTCGTTTATTTGGCCCTTGTTAGCCTTTGAGTTTGGCATGCTTGTTCTAGAGCCTTTTCTGCCTTCACATTTGCACAGACTGTGGCAGATGTCTGCAAGCTCACAGAAGGAAGTCTTTCTTCGGAAGCTGATCACAGATGGTTGCCCGGTGCTGTGGGTAACGGGGTTTGATGGATCTGAGAGCCTCCTGTCGCCCGCACACAGGTTCCCCTGCTCACCATTACAAACCCGTCCTGGTCTTTGCCATCCTCCTTAAAAGGTCAAAGGGCAGTGTCCTTTCCTCCCGCTTCTCGGGCCCCGGGCTGTGAGTGAGGAGCAGCACCCCAGCAGTGACAGAGCCTGGGTCCTCTCTGCCCGGGACCGGCCCTGGCACCGCCCCAGCGG